ACACTGATAAAGATGTTGAAGAGTGCTGGGCCTAAACTAGAACCTTGGGGTAGTCACCGCATCCTTCCCTCCAGGTAGATGCAGTTCCATTGAGGACCACATGTTGAGTGCGGTTGGTCAGCCAGTTACGAATCCATCTGGTGATGATGCCATCTAACCCACATTTTTCCAGTTTATCAAGTAGTAGGTTATGGTCTACTTGATCAAATGCCTTACTGAAATCCAAGAAAATTATATCGAACTATAGACCAATCAGCCTAACATCAATACCCGGGAAGATACTGGAAAAGATAATAAAAAAACCCAGATCTGCCAACATCTAGAAACAAGAAAAGTAATAACTATCAGTCAGCACGGGTTTGTTAAGAACAGATCATGCCAAACCAATCTTATTTCATTCTTCAACACAGTGACTAAATTAGTAGACCAGCAAAATACTGTGGACATAATATATTTAGATTTCAGCAAGGCATTCGACAAAGTAGACCTACTTAATAAGCTAGAAAAAAGTGGAATAGATAGCACCACCACTAGATGGACTCGCAACTGGTTGGCAAACCATACTCAACGAGCAGTCCTTAATGGACTTAATGGAGGGAAGTAAGCAGTGGGGTGCCACAAGGTTCGATCTTAGGCCCAGGACTCTTCAATAACTTCATTAATGACTTAGATGAGTGAACAGAAGGGAAACTTACCAAATTTGCAGATGATACTAAGCTGGCAGGAATAGCCAACACCCAAGAAGATAGGCTCAAGTCCAGATGGATCTTGACAGACTAGAACCCTGGGCCCTATCTAACAAAATGAAATTCAGTGTAGAGAAAAGGAAAGTCCTACACTTAGGCAAGACAAACCCAAAGGACACATATAGACTGGGTGAAACCAGGCTCAAAAGCAGTCACTGTGAGGGGGATCTTGGAGTCTTAGTGGACAACCAGCTAAAGAGGAGCCAGCCGTGTGCAGCCAAAAAAGCTAATGCAATCCTCAGTTTATTAACAGAGGGATACAATCCAGATCAAGGGAGGTACTAATACCACTCTATAAAGTCTTAGTAAGACCACACCTAGAGTACTGCATCCAGTTTTGGTCACCACATTATAAAAAAGAGGTTGAGATTCTAGAAAAAGTACAGAGAAGAGCCACCAGGATGATTAGGGGACTGGAGGCTACCCACCTGCCTTCAATCGAGGACCTGTATCCTGCACGAGTCAAAAAGAGGGCTGTGAAAATATTTACAGACCCCTCACATCCCGGACATATAAACTGTTTCAACTCCTTCCCTCAAAACGACACTAGAGCCCTGCACACCAGAACAGCTAGACACAAGGACAGTTTTTTTCGCTGAAGGCCATCACTCTGCTAAACAAATAATTCCCTCAACACTGTCCAACCATTTACAAAGTCTGCATTACTGTCACTATTGTGACTGCATGACTGTAACTTTGTTGCTTGTATCCATATGATTTATGTGGACTAGTATGATTTGATTGCTTATTGTATCCTGTTGAAGCAGATTGGAAGGTCAAAAACAAAATATGCATTTACCAGAAATCCTCTGACCCCTTACCTTGCTTCTTATAGAAATATTGTGCAAAACCACGAAATTGCTGAACTAAGGAACTGGAAGTAAGCATGTTTCAGTGAATAAGGATGGGTCTGGAAAATAACAGATATGTACTTCTCCTTTTTGGTATAGTTTAACATAAGAAATGCCCCGGGCTACGCTGAGGTTATGAAATGTATAAAAGTGATGCCTCAGGAAGAGCCAGGGGTTCAGAATTTGCCATTCTAATGCTCTGAACCTTGTGCACAAATAAAAACCTGTATTCTCCAACCTTTCGTGGTCTTATGTCCTGATTTGGAAACAGGATCTGCTGCAACATTTATGGTGACTCCGCCGGGACACAAGGGGCCCTGAGGCCCACTGGAGGGTCCACCCCGGGTGCCAGCGACTGGGTGAGTTGAAGGGAACATCCCAGGCACCATCGGTCCTTTGAATCCGAGGGACTTCCCGAGACTACCCTGTTCTGGTGGCGGTTGACACCTCCAAGAACCACAGGTGAAAGGTGAGGAGACCAGGACATCTTCCAGCCGGCCGGTGGAGAAGGAAGACGCCTGCAGGCAAGTATTGGATTTGGGAATAATCCACCCCTGTAAGCAGGGATGGAGGAGAGGACTGATCACCCTCTCTTAGACAAAGGTGGGAGGAATTGTCAGGAATGGTTGAGGTGAGTGGCTACTGTGGTTCCCATTGGAGATTGTGAGTGTCCAGCGCCGTGGGCCAGTAGAAAGCGAGTGGTGTCCGCAGTTCCCATTGGAGACCGTGCGCATCCGGCTCCCTGGGTCGGATGGGAGTGTGTGCAAATCCCTGGTGTTTTCGGAGGAGGAGGGACCCCATACCCTCCACCCCAATCCCTTTTCTCAATTGTCTTGTCTGGTGACCGGGGTGGCTCATGGGTGGAGGAGAAAGTAAACCCCTGACCCCATTGGGGTCTATGTTAAAGCATTTTAAAGAAGCATATGAACCCCAGGACTATGGTCTTGAGTGGAGTAGGCATAAACTGCAGGTGTTCTGCGAGGGAGAGTGGCCAACATTTGGGCTAGGGTGGCCTCCCATAAGCACACTAGATATCCCTCCTAGTTATTGAGCCAGTGGAATGAGGAAAACCGACTCCCCTGGACTAAAAGTTTAAGTAAGAACAGAATGATAAATTTGTGCATTGGAAAATGGCAAAATACATAATTGAGGAACCACAATACAGGATCTGGGAGAAACAAGCAAATGTAGGTTGGGTCCTGAGCCCTTAGCAGATAGTAAAATACTTTTGGCTAAAGCAGAAAATATGTGAAACTCCTTAAGGACTGAGAAATAGGTAAGGTTGGTGTTATATTTGGAAACAGGCATAGGAGTTTCTATCTGGAATTGGTAAGATTAGGGCCGTGTTCTCCATGGAGCCCATGGGGACACGTTAAACAGTAAAAGTTGTCTTTAAAAAGAAAAGTGGACTTCAAACTTGCTCATGAGAGCCCTGGCCAGGTGCAAAGGAGGTGTGAAAGAAGGTCTCTATATATCTTGATCTTTAAAAATAAGTCAGTGTTGTCTGGGAGATTCTAAACTAGAAAGATAAGGGACAGAACACCCAGGGCAGAGACAGGTAGTAAAAATCTCGTGCTTAACAATGAGTGTAACGTCAAGTAAAAGTGAGAAGTTCACTAAAACAATAACAAAGAAAGCCCAATTAGTGAAACCTCAAGTTAAATACTTAGGTTATACTATAAGTTAGGGCCACAGAGCTAAAATCCTGTATTCTCCAACCTTTCGTGGTCTTGTGTCCTGATTTGGAAACAGGATCTGCTGCAACACTGTGACTATCATTAAGTGTTGTCCCTGATGATTCTTCACTCTTGACACTGAGAGCTTCTGCACCAAAGACAAATTTCCTTGGGTGTCCAATGACACTTGGCCCATAAAGAATTGTATTCTATTCTATTTGCTTATTGCACCCTGTGACTAAGTCTTGTACCTGATGATTCTTGACTCTTTTTTTAAAAAAAAAATTATTCAAAATTTCAAAGAATTAAAAAAAAAGAGAGAAACAAGTTCTCACATTTTACAGGGATGTCATAGCAGTGTACATAACTTTTAGTAACAATTAAGTTCATTTACCATAAGCTTGTCTATAACTTCTTGACCCTTTTATGTTCACCGAGAGCATTTGCACCAAAGACAGATCCCTTGTGTGAGGAGTGTATCTATTTTGTGACTCAAAACTCAAGATGAAAAAGGGAGGATTTCCCTTTGAAGTAAGGAAATGCAGTGTCAAACACTGATTAGGATGCTGACTGATCTTGGAATGTCTTTGAAACGCTGGGAGATATCACACTT